CCCCAAAACCCCAAAACCCCAAAACCCCAAAACCCCAAAACCCCTGCACTGTAAGCCAGAATTGAAAAATGTTAGTTTGAATATATTAGGGTCATTATTTAGCAAATTTAGGTAGCAATTGGATTAGGATTTCATGATTCGAGGTATTCTTCATCTTCGTCTCCTGGGTCACTGCTTGAGTTCATGATTTGTTTCAGTACTTCTCTGATGTCAGGGACTTCATCCTCGACGAGACCTTTGAGGAAAGGAAGGAGAGTGAGAAGCTCAGTATCTTCCATATCATCGTACCAGCTTTTAACGAGAATTCCATTGTGGGGCTGACTCAGGAACGACTCATACAGATTGTCAATAATCAGAGTCTTCGCCAAGTCCCTGCCCAGCAAGCTCAAGTCCTTGATGTACATCGCGTCTCTGAACACAGTATGTCGCCTGTACAATCGGTGGGCGATGCACTGCTGTGGGTCGATGTTGTCGACGATGCAGTCAGCGTACTTCTTGACTCCGGCTGTGAACAACACAATGTCGAAGAGCTGGCTGAGTTCTGCCAGGAACTGGGGCACTCCAGGCCTGACCAAGTAGAACTTGTCGTCGTCTCTGTAGTGGATCAGAGTCTCATCGAGGTCCAGCACCAACGTGTATTCTTTGTTGGCAGGCAGAGCTGGAAGGTACGGAGGAGCTGGCTTTACAAGTTCAGGGTCTGCTGGTCCGGCAAGAGCAGCGTCGATTTGGGCAGCGACTTCAGGGTCTTCATCAGGATCGATGAGAAGGTCAAGGCCATTGTCATCAGTGAAGGTCTCAAGAGGAGGATTAGAACCAAGAGGTGAGTGGAGACAAGAGTCATCACGAGGAGGATTGGAAGCAGAAATCTCCTCTTTAGTTTCTTCAGATTTCTTCTCTTCGCTTTCATGTTTACTTTCTAACGTATTCATTTTCCGATATTTCAAAATACTACTTGGTCGATGTGGCATTTCAAGTTCTTTCTCTTTTCTGATATTTCTAATTTCGTTATTAATGACAATTAGTTCGGGGTCTTCAGCTTCAACAAATTGCTTTGCTGGTCTAATCTTCTTGACTGGCTTGGTCTCCTTCACTGGAGTGAATTGCTCAATGGGAATCGGAATTGCAGGCTTTTGAGCCATTTTCTCATCCTCAATGATATTGTTAGTTTCAGGTGATTTTGATTGTTTTTCAGTAGAATTTTTTCAAACCTCCTTCTTTTGCTCAACCTTATTTGGAGTAGAGGACCTCATTTCCTCAAAATTTTGTTGTAAGAAGGAAGGTATGACAAGAAGATTGTGAGAATTAGACCGAGCACGAGTATGTTCAGACACATGATCCAAAAATGTATGACCAAGTGACTCTGCTTTTTCAAATGGAAGGAATTTCATAACATGTTCTTTCTCAAACTTATGTTCATATCCCTGCTTGTGCCTCTCTTCGCTCAACAAATCTTGGGAAGGCTTATGGTCCTCGACTGCTTCATCTTCAGCTTGCTGCTTATGAAAGGATAAGAGATGTTTTTGGGAGCCTGGCTCTAACTTCTCAACTGTTGGGAGAGACACTTCCATTCTGAGCTCCTCTTCACTTTTGTCGCTACACTCCTTAACAGGAGTGTCCACGTTCTGATTGAGTAACGAGGGGGAATTGCGAGAGATACTTCGATCCTCTTGTGAAGTGCAAAAGGAGCCAAGGGTATTCTTCCTCTCGGTTTTCTCCCTTTCATACTTCTTCTGAGTCTCAATCACTGTATTGATTAATTTCTGTGTTTGTTCAACGATCGTAGTCTTCTTCTCGAATATAGCCTTCTGCTTGGTAGGCGAGGTTATTTTTTTTGGGTCCACCATGTCTGGTTGCTGAATTAACTTACTACTATTACTCTTTTGGACTTGAATATCCTCAATGCCGTAATCAGAGTCGGAAGAAATTTGCTTCATAGTTGATTTGATCTTGTTATCATTACTCTGATCAACCTCAGCCTTCTCTTCATCGTGGAAGAATTCATCAAAGCTGGTCTTCTTCAACGTTGAAGGAGCTTCATGCATCGTAGGTTTATTTGAGTTCCTCTTTGTCAAGATAAAAAGAGGACTTCTTATTAGGAACTGGGCTTTCTGTGCTGAAATGTTTTTCTTGGAGCTTCTCCTCGATACTATTTCTATTGTTGACTGTCAACTCAAGAACCTCACCTGAGTTGAGAGTGCTAATGGATTCCCTCACCTGAGACTTCTTCTGAGTTTTAGGAACCCCAAAGCTGTCATCTGTCTGAGCTTTAGAGGTAGTATTCGTCTCATTTTTAGAAATTTTACTCTCTTCTTTAGCATCAAAATCTGTGGAGAACCTCTTACTATTCAGGGGGTTCATCTTATGAGGAACTGGGACTTCTCAGTTAGGACGTTCTGAAGGGAAACTCTCGTTCTCGAAATCCTCCATCGTATCATTCACCATTCTAGATAAATTACTATTCCTAGTTTTCTCCACTTTTGACTTATAAGACTGAACAACATCATGCATTTTGTACATTGAGGGATAACTCTTTTTAGGCTGGGTTAGCTTAGTCGCAGGAGCTTTCTCAGGGTACTTCTTGGTATAGTTCTTCAAGCTGGACTCCTTTGAATCTCTAAACTTGGTTGGCTCTTTTAACTTGCTCTTCTTTCGTGTATGACCTTTCTCTGAGTATAAGTCAATAGTGAGAGATTTGACGTTCTTCCGAGCTTGCTCTTCTGAGATATGCTTCTTGAGCTTTGATGGTTTCTACAGAATTACAATAGAAAACAAACCTTAGTGGGATGAATATTTCTGTCGATACCAATATTATTATAGCCTCTCCTCGAATTAGCTGTAAATTTAGGTCCTTGGCTCTTACGAGCCAAGGTGCTTGAATTAATCGAGGAAGCCGGTCTCTTAACCCGGTTCTCTTTGATATTATTAACCATCTCGATGACTTTGGTTCTTACCCAGGAGACAGAAAGATTCTCAAATTTATTTCAAAATCTCTATAGCCATTTTATTGTACTCTGCTTGGTCAGAGACACCTCTACACATGTTTTTAAGAAGGTCCGAAGACATCTGGTTGTTTCTTGTCAGAGTTTCGGTGTTGTTTCAGTTATCATAAGATTTTGCGGCAGGCCTGTCGCAAAGAATGTTGAGAAGCTCATCCACCCAGTGCTTTGTCTTTGTCATCTGGTCTTCGTTCAGGTTTTGGCAAATAAATTCGACGAAAATCAGGTAATTCTTGTGCATGAAACTTAGAATATTACTCATGGAAGATATACTCTTGTTATTTTTGTATAACTTCTTATTGAGAAGTTCTAGGTACCCAAAAGACAAAATGAGGATTATCTGTTGACACCGGATTAACTTCCTAGAGTCATTTTCTTCGAAAAAGATCTGCATCTCCCTGACACTAGATGTCTTCATAAGAGCGAACCACTCTTTACAAAGTGGTTCGATCGGTTCTTTTTCCTTAATAAGTTCTTGAATCCTGAAAATGATGTCTTCTTCTTTAACAATATCTTCCAGGTTTACGACTAGATTTTCATGCTCTTCAGTTCATGGCTGTTGGAAAGCATCGCTAGTGAATTGTAATGGCTTTATACGATTCCTGATGGCAGATCTGGAAGGTGTAATGGTGGACCTTTCCTTTCTTAGCTCAGAGACCTGAGTATAAGGATCAGGCTCTCCTTCTGACCGCTTAACCCTGCTATTCTTGGCCTCAACTACCAAGTAACTGCTGTCTTCAGTATAATCATTGTGATAAATATCTGATTCAAAGTTTACTTTGGAAGAGATCAGTGAAGCCTTTGGCTTCACTATATTTGGAGTGCCAAGTGTTCCTGAGCTGTAGCTATGTCTTATCTCTTCAGACATCTGCTTCCGTAATCTGGAGTTCTTCTACACAAATTAGGGGCATGTCTTACCAACTGAGTATTGTTGACATAACTCTTCTTCCTTAATCCAGGATTCCCAGCCATTTTAGTATTCATCGCCGACATCATTGGCTTCCTTATAGGAACTTTTTGGGAATGCTGATTTATTAGCGATCTTTTGTTAAAAACTTTATCAGTAGACTTGAATCCCTTGATGCTTTTTGAGTCTCTCTGAGCTATCCCAGTGGTGAACTTTGAACTTATAACTCGTTCCTTCTGATTAGAAACTACTTTCCGGGCTGATATTTTACTCTTGACTCGATTATATGAGTAAGATCCATTCTTGTCGCCTTCCTCGCCGCTTTCGAGATAAACCTTTTGATGCTTGACTGCTTTTATTTTGGGTTTATTTAACAGTCGAGCTCAGGTAGCTATATCTGGGCCTAGCCTTACTGTTGGAGTCATCTTGAACCGTACTCTGGTTTGGTGTCACCTTGTTGGTGACCATCTTCTTCGTCTTTACCATTTCAGTGAAAGAGGCCATCTTGAACCGTGATTCCTGAGGTGACTTATATTCCTTCGTAAATCTGTTGCCTTGAGGACCCCCAAATCTTGACTGCAGACCGATTTCGTTCATATTTAGTTTGAAATTTTACAAAATATGTTCTAATAAAAGGGGTTTTGGGGTTTTGGGGTTTTGGGGTTTTGGGGTTTTGGGG